TAGTCGACTAGTCCCTCCCCTCTAGCAAAGGCAGCAAGGAGAGGGAGTAGGAGCCAGTGCTGCAAGGAGCTGGCTTAAAAGCCGTTTCCCCCCAGCACACACACTGCAGGGGGCAAGGGAGGCAGAGGGGTAGAGGGGATCAGGCGCAAACTGGGAATCAGCTGATTCCCAGCTTGTGTCCAGTCCCAGTCGCTGCGCCTCTGCTTCTGAAATGTATTCAGAGCTGGCAGGCTCTTAATACATTTCAAAGGTTCGTGCACAGCCAGGAATCAGCTGCCCCGGCTCGCGTCGGGTTCCCCACCTCTGTGCTTCTGCTTTTTAAATGGAGATGATAAGAATTCACGAGGTTCGTTGACTATTCAGTTAACCAATACTTAGCACCCCTGCTGTGGAGGTGGCCCCCCCTGCAGGTTCGCATTTACCAAAATAACCACACTTGAACACCTCCAGTAGCCGCACACGTCCGTCCGCAGAGCAGGAATTCTGGTGCTCCCTTAGCTCAGGCGTTGTCTTCTGAACAGCGGCTTTCTGGCTGCACGTTCACGGGCAGCTCGGCACGCCGGGGGTCGCCTTCCCAAAGTAGGCTGCAGCTGAGCTTTCAAAAACCCACTTTGGCCCTAATGCAAAATGTAGAATTCATTGGTGCTCGTCTTGATTGAGTAGCAGCAAGGCTGCCTCCCAGTGCGCTACGGCACGGCCCTGTCCAACGTAGCGCACTCCAGACGGGGCTGCCAGTGCAGGGCCTTCGTGGGCGGCTCGGGACCGTTCACTCAGTCTCACTACGCTGCTTGCCACCCACCTCCACAGAAGAATCTCTCAACTGGTGGAAATGCCTCAGGGTATTTGTGCAGGACTCTTCCCCCCACCCTTCCCCAGGGGTTGTAACGGTGGATGCATCCATACGTGGGTGGGGAGTGCAGCTAGACACCCACCTGGCCCAGCACAGATGGATGCCTCACAACCTGCTCTGCACATCAACCCTCTGGAATTCCAGGCAACCAGGCACGCTGGTCTCCAGTGTCTGCCGCGAATTGGGGTGCACAGAGGGGCCCTGCTGGAGCATGTCGTGCATTTTCTGGAGCGATACCCCCATCCGCATCGAGGTTGTCAAGGTCTGGGACTGGTGCACACACAGGCAGGGTGTCGTCATGGCAGGTCCCCCTCCAGGAGTTCAGAACGTGAGCCTGGACTCTCAGCAGGCACGTTGGGAGTTTGATTCCATCACATTTCACCCATTGGCCAGCAAGGGGGCATCCCCCAAGTATGAGCAACGCACCCCGTCCAGCTCAAATGGTGGGTGGGTCACCAGTCCATGCGGGGGATGCCATTCGCTTCCGGTGATCGCTGGATCTACTGCACACGTTCCCCCACACTCCTATCCTAATCAGGCAAAGCAGAATTGCTCTGAGTCCCAGCCTGGCCCACACAAACATGGTTTCCTTATGTGATACAGCCGGCCCTGTCCTGAGCTATCACTCTCCCGGTCGCTCCTCATCTCTTCCAGGAAGATCCTTCCCCCAGCCGTGTTCTTCACCTCAAAGCATTTCTGGCTAATGCTGCATGGGATTAGAGTCTATTCCAAGGAGGAAAGCAGAAAATCATCTACACTTACTTACAAAATGGTCGGGATTTGCTTGTTGGTACCTCAGACACATTCCACCAGCAACCTCATCGCTGCCGGGTATATTGGCTTGCATCCTAGAACTGAGAACCTCGTGGAAGATTACTCCATACACCCCACCCACTAACAATGATGGACGTCTCTGGGCTCAGTCTCTTTCTATCGGTCAAATATTTTAGTCCGATTCTTAAACGCTTTGCAAGGTCTCTGTTTGAACTGATGGCTACAGCATTTCAGGTAGGCTTTCTCTGGCCTTGAGAAGTCGGGAAGTAGAGGCCTTCGTTGCATAGCTCCCCTTTGCAGTAATCAAGACAAGGTCGTATTAAGACCACGCCCCAAGTATTTACCAGAAATATCTTCTGAGTTCCATATCAACCAACCCATTCACCTCCCGATCTTCCACGAGCCCTCTCCTGGGCTGAGAGGAGGCGCTTGATGACTGGAGGGCCCGGGCCTCCTCTCTGAAAGATTTAGCCCTGTTGAAGTTACTGGTCTCGATTAGACAGACCACAGGTCTCTCTCAAAGGCTTTCCAAGCGGCGACCTGGCTGCATTAGCAGCTGCTACCAGCCCTGTAATCTCCAAGCACCCTTGGACACGCGGCTTCACTCTGAGCTCTAGTTCCATTGGTGCAGCCTTTCTCAAAGACCCTCCCATCGTAGGGATACACACAGCTGTCCCTTGGGCCTCTGCCCCCACTTTGCGAGCCTCTCCCAGCCTGGCTCCGACGCTGCCCCTGGCGCGGCTGTGCTGTCTCCTCGACTGACGTTGACTCCGAAGATGCCCTCTTCTTTAAAGGAGCTGCTTGGAAGTCCCATCCCGTGGAGCACCCACAGGGACAGCACTGGAAGAGCAAGCTGTGGATTCACACGGCTCTTTGAGATGTGCGTCCCTCCGGGTGCTCCACTGCCCACCCTCTTTTGCTCTGCTTGGGCGTGGTACGCTGCAGAGTCCCAGTGGAGAAGCGCTTTGTCCCCGCGGGGCTGGATAACAATAGCAGGGTGCGTGCCGAGCAGACGCAGCTGTAAGAAATCTCCAGGCAGAGATGCAGGGGCACAACCACCCCTAAGGTGGACACGCATGGGAGACCATCTCCGAGAATGTCCCTTGCTTCCCAGGGTAACTTTCTTCTGTAAAAGCAGCGAGGCGGCCTGGGGCCCCTAGACGAGCACGTTTATTAACTCAGTCTGTTAGCCTCTGAGGTGCATGGGACACCAGGTGGTTGTTGCAGATGCAGACTAACACGCCTCTCCCTGTGCTGTTCCTCTGAGGCTTTGTTTTTGGGAGTCTCTTGGATGTGACCACAGGTAGATCGTGGATCTTTGCTCCCGGTACTCCCCTGCAGCAACTCTGATTTGAATCTCGTGATGGTGGAGACAGACTGTTCCTTCATGGCGTTTAGTCACTCGTCCGCCAGGAATTCTGACCTCTTGAGCTGAAATATCTAGGCTCGATCTCTATCTCAAGGGGACGCTTGTCATGCAGCTGACCTGTGAACCTTTGAAATACACGTGCTGGTTTTGCAGGAGACTTCTGCATTCTTCATCTCCCTTTCTGAAGACACAAAGCTGACTGCAGAAGGCGGCCGTGCTGTGCTTGTGGTTGCAGGTGTCCTAAGCCGGCCACTGTTGCACTGTAAGCGTTTGTGGGCTCACCTCTGTTCATCTTCTTCAGTGCCCCCGGAACGCTTGCTGTTTTATCGCGGAATTCTGGGGGCGGGGGAAATCCACCCGTTTGTAGCCCACAGAGCGAACTCAAGGGAGCACCTTGAGGGAGCGCTAGGCATGTGGCTAGGAATGCCAGGGTTACGGTCGGGGCAGGCTGCCTTTCAGAACTTCCGGTGTAACCGGCACTTGGCCCTCTTCCATAGGACTTACAGTACGAAGATGAGGAGATGACTCTTGAGGCCCCGTGCTCCAGTTTGCCTTCAGACCAGCCAGCCGTCTTCACCCTTGCACAGCAGCCCCTGCTGCCTGGCGTGAGGCTGTGTCTATATGGCAGAAAGCGAGAGGGAGGCGAGATCCAGTCACACTTGGAGAAGAAGCACAGAGGCAAAGCCATGGGACAAAGCCCAGGAAAGGAGCCTGCTGGGTCCCACCTGCCAAGGTAACTTCACAGAGACGAGGGATGTTTGTCGATTAATCAGCTAACCCAGTGGGTGATGGACTTTCCATCGAGTCCACAGTTGGTCGATAAGGGGGGCAGCTCTTGTACATTTCAAAGGGGGAGGTGCAGCAGTCAGGATACCTCTGCCTCCCCTGCGCCCCGGGGAGATGGTGCGGGGGGACGGGGGTGTGACGTAGTGGGGGTACTTGCTGGGCTGTGGTGACCCCTGCTGTCTGGAGCAAGACCCAGCAGGGAAAACCTCACTAGGCAGAGGTAAGGCCAAACTTGTTGAACCAGACACCCCCCATGGAGAGGAACAAAGGAAGGGGGATGCTGCCCTGGCTGGGGGGCAGGGCTGGAAGAGGGTTAGTGAGTTGCTGTCTGGGAGCATGGAGGAGACAGCCTAGGGACAGGGGCTGGAGTTTAGGGGCCCAGTCTCCCCCATCTCAAGGGGGCCTGAGGCATCCTAGCCCAGCTCTGTGACCAGATTCCATCTGTGCTGTGCTGTATCCTGGAGAGGCAATAAACTCCCTCTATTCCACCGGCTGGTGCAGTCTGTTTGTGCCATTTCGGGGTGCAGGAGACGAGGGACCCCAACGCGCTGTCACAGGGGGGAACCAGCTTTTAAGCCAGCTCCCCACCACCACCGGCTCCTGCTCCCCCCTTGCTGCCTATCTCGGATAGAGCCAGCAGGGTGGGGGAGGAAGAGACTAGTTGAGTCATGACTCGACTACCCGATAAGCGTCGCCCCCATCCCTAGCAGAGCCCCCCCGGCTCCATTGCTCGGGGAGCAGTCGTTCTGGGAGAGGTCTCCCCAGCATCTCCCCCCGCCTCCCCCGCCCCCACCTCGGCTACAGGGCTAATTCTTGACAGGCCCTGTCAGGAAATCACAGTTTTAGCAGCTATAAAATCTGTACGTGAATTTCAGCTCGGGGTGGAAATGCGCCCCGCAGAGTCCTAGCTCGGGGTGGGAATGCGCCCCGCAGAGTCCTAGCTCGGGGTGGGAATGCGCCCCGCAGAGTCCTAGCTCGGGGTGGGAATGCGCCCCGCAGAGTCCTAGCTCGGGGTGGGAATGCGCCCCGCAGAGTCCTAGCTCGGGGTGGGAATGCGCCCCGCAGAGTCCTAGCTCGGGGTGGGAATGCGCCCCGCAGAGTCCTAGCTCGGGGTGGGAATGCGCCCCGCAGAGTCCTAGCTCGGGGTGGGAATGCGCCCCGCAGAGTCCTAGCTCGGGGTGGGAATGCGCCCCGCAGAGTCCTAGCTCGGGGTGGGAATGCGCCCCGCAGAGTCCTAGCTCGGGGTGGGAATGCGCCCCGCAGAGTCCTAGCTCGGGGTGGGAATGCGCCCCGCAGAGTCCTAGCTCGGGGTGGGAATGCGCCCCGCAGAGTCCTAGCTCGGGGTGGGAATGCGCCCCGCAGAGTCCTAGCTCGGGGTGGGAATGCGCCCCGCAGAGTCCTAGCTCGGGGTGGGAATGCGCCCCGCAGAGTCCTAGCTCGGGGTGGGAATGCGCCCCGCAGAGTCCTCAGCTGCTGTGTAGACAGCCTGAGACGGGGGCTTCCAGCGAACCCGGACAGTCCATCCAGGCAAGCTCCCAACTCTTCTGCCGTGCGATGCGCTTGGCCCGGGCCTGGCTCTTCTGCCCACAGCAAGAGAGAGCGGAGCTCTGGGCGGTTCCCTCTCCGGCAGGCTTGCTTAAAGACACCGAGGAAGCCCCCTGGCCAGCCCGATCCCCTCCTGGCCAGCCCTGCTTCCCGCCGGCTGGCTCCCCCCCG